CTCACCTCTTAGACAAAGGTATTGACCCGAAAGCTCATTTTTCATCTCGGTTTGGACCTTTGTGAAGAAAATTTGCAAGTCATGATAAAGTAACCATATAAATGTGTTCTTCACACTTAAATGAATGTGTAGGAACAAATCATGCTTAATTTCATTACAAATCAAGAGATCTCTTAAAGTTTGAAGTTGGACGGTTCATGTGTTCTGGCGCATTTGGGATGATGAACAGTATATGTGTTATTTGTGGTATATATTGGTAGTATTCTCGTGTTATTTGCACTGTTATGTTGTTTTATTTGAGTCATTTTATTTGCGTTGTATTTTGGTAGTATTTAGGTGTTATTTGCATTGTTCCGTCATTTTATTTGAGTGGCATTGCGATATTATTATGGTTTTATTTGAGTCTTTCCATGGTTAATTTAAAAATATGGGATTTTCTGATTTAATTAATTCCAAAAATTGATTTAAACTTTGAAAAATCATATCTTGGTGTGGAAAAATCATAAAAATAAAATAAAAATATCTTGGTGCTAAGTGAACAGAGGAGAACAGTGAATAGAGAAAAAATTACTTATCTAAAAATTTAAGATATTTACTTAATATTTTTCTTGCAAATTAATTAATTCTTCCAAAACCTATTTTAGTCATAAAAAATAAAATATTAATCATTTTGACCTGAAATTTTGAGAGTTTGTTCATCATAGCATTATGAGTGTTTCCTAATTTTGTTAAAGTCATAGAACACTCCTAGCTTAGAAACCCTATTTTTTAATAAAAGAGTGTTTCCTAATTTTTCTAAAGTCATAGAACACTGTCGGCACTATTTTTGGCGTGGAGTTTGCCCGTAAATGTCTCTATTTTGGTAAAAGCAATTATCAAAAATAAAATATAAATCATAAAATTACAAAACTAAGTTTTGTGAGTTCTCTATGGTCACGAGAGTAAGGGAAAAATAATTTTTATTTTAAAATGAAAATATATTTCCTATTTGATTTTCCTCTTAGAAAATCATTTAAAGATTATAAAAATTAAACTATATTTTGAAAAATCACAAATTAGCTATGATTAGTCCCTTAACCATGAGCAACATTATTAAATTTTTCTAAGGACAAAGAACCTATTTTAAGTAGCTAAATTAATTATTAAATTAAATTTACTATTTTAAGTATAAATGATTCTAAAAAATAAATAAAAATTATAAAATGTTAATTTCTTCTCTATTGACTTAATTGATCCATGAATAGGATGCCAATGAAGTCTCATGTTTATTTGACTTAAGAACTGAAAGTTAAGAGGTGTAAACCCTAGGGGTAGAATTGTGATTTTATAAATTTACAATTTAACCCTAATTACTAGGATTAATCAGAGGGGAGGAGACTAAAAAAATGATAAATAGTCCACTGAAATGATTGAAACCTAAAGGAAATTTACAATTTAACCCTAATTATTAGGATTAATCAGAGGGGAGGAGACTAAGAAAACGATAAATAGTCCACTGAAATGATTGAAACCTAAAGGGAAATTGGGTAGTAATTAATTTGCAATAATTCCTACAAAATAGTAAAATTGCAATTATGAGAATTGTTGAGAATTGGAAGAAAATAAGAACTTAGATGATTCAAGAGTAAGGGGTATGAATTAGAAGATCTGTAGTCTATCAATTGAGACCCCTAATCATTGGTTGAATTAAAGTTCAATTCTTTTAATTAAGATTGAAGCACACTTCATAAACTTTTTGCAAATTACAAATTTGCCCTTAGGTCTTAAGAGCTTGATAATGAGTTAGGTTTAATCTAAAGAGACTTGAGGAGTAGTTAGGAAAAAACTTAACTAACAATGAAACACCTTAAAACACTTCAAAATAAAGCTAAAATGTAAATTCCCTAAGTCTCACAAGCACACCCCAGATAGGTTTACCCACACAACTTTCAATTGGATGTTGAAATTAATCATTTATCCTCAATCCATGGGTTAGTTAAAAC